CTGTTTCTGAATCACCTGAATGACTGTTATGATAGATTTTTTTTTTTTTTTTCCAGAATCAGGGATTGAACTCAGGCCCTTGTGCTTGCCAGGCAAGCACTTATTCTACTGAGCTATCTCCCCAGCCCCAGAAAATTTAATTTAAAATGTAGCTAGTGAGATGACAGGTGTATCTTGTAGAGCTGTGATCTATTTTGTCAGTTGAGTGAGGGAACAAAGGCATGGCCCTACTAGGTAGGAGCAAGTACTTAGCTCTGAGTTAAGCAAACCGCTGATGGAGACGTAAGAGGGCACGAAGGTGGCGCCATTCAGCTTAGTGAGCCCAAAGGTATTTTTTAAAATCTGCTTCATTCTAGCAAGTGATGAGTGTATTCATGATAGCCCCATGTTCTGCCTTTCGGTGATGAGGAGGCTCTCCTTAGAGAAGAGACTGGTAGCGAGCTGTCACTTCGCTAAGTGACAGATTGTAATGGTTTGCCTCCGCCCTCCTCTGGGCCGTACCTTTCATGTTCTCCTTTGAGACCCCGGCACCAAATCTCCTTTACCATATTTTAGCTAAAACCTAGACGCACACAAAATGTGTGCTGGGCTGAGAGCAAAGCGAGTGTCGTCAGGGAGCTCCCTGCTGCCTGCAGAGGCCTCAAGGCTCAGCTGCCTCTTGTTACCTCTTACACCTCCAGGTCTTTCAGTGTAAGTTTCTGGGAGAGGAATTAAGCCATTGTAGGCTGCTTGTTCCTAGGTTGTCCCTTTGCACGTAAGCCATTTTAGAAGGGACAAAATATACCCTACTATAAAAATATCTGTGAAGACATGATTAATTTCCATTCAATTTTTTTTTTTTTTTTTAAAGAAGGGGCAGGCCAGGGACACAGCTCAGTGGTATGAGCACCTGCCTGGCAAGAATAAGGTCCTGAATTTGATCCCTGGTTTAAAAAAAAAAAAAAAGAGCAGAATTAATTTAAAGCTGTGGAGGGCAGGTCGCTCATCTGACTGTCAGGACTGAGCGCCCAGCCCACAGGGTGGGAATCTGCAGTTTCTGCTGCCTTCCTGGCTTCTGCCCATCTCGTGGTGCCCCTGGCACCTCGGCCTCACAGTGCTTTCTCTAGAAATCGCCACTTCCCCCCACTCTCTCCTGCTCCCCATCCCTGGAGCCAGCTGGAATCCCTCTTTGAGCATTCTCCTTTTGCTCTGACTGGTCCTCCATTGAGCCTCGGCTACTCTCTGCATCTCCCACATGCTATAGGGGATGTACATGGTTATGTCAGGAGAAGGGCGGCCCCGCTCCCTTGGCAGGGATTTCATGTGCCCTCTGGTGCGGCGATGACGTTGCACACTGAATGAACACATCAGTTTGGTTGATGATCACATCAAATCATCTTGTTGTGTTTCACACGCAAGGCCCACCCTCCCATGGGCATTTAAGCCTTGCTTGCCAGAGTCCAAAACCTCAGTGCCCCCTACTGACTTCTAGAAGTTTCTGTGGATTCCCTTGTAAAAATCACATGGTCTTGTATTTTTGTTTTGTTTTTGCGATGGCCTCCTCAGCAAGGTGCCTGGCAACTGCTTTGTGGCAGGTGCTTTCTCTGTGATGCCCCTCCCCTCTGGCCATGTGGCATCCTTCCAGTGAATGGTACCTTTAGCTTCTGCCCTTTGAGGTTGAAAATCAGTCCTCAGGGCTGCGAGTAGTGGAACAGGGACCGCGGAGTTTACCTCCTCCTTCCCAGTGTCCTTATCTTCCACGTTCTTCCTTATTGTCCTGGCATAGATCTTCTTTACCTCATTTTTAGCCAAAAACCAAATGAAAATAAAAATTCCTCAACAACCTGAGCAGATCAGCTTACCCAGATGTGTGCCCAAAATGATCACGAGATTAATAGCTCTCCAACAGCAAGGTCCAGGTAGACAATTAGCAGCAGTAGAAGTCTCACATGCCTTTACACTTACAAGGGCTGAGCTAGACTTCCAGGATGTTTAAAAAGTGATTACAGTAAAAGATGCATCCCATTAACCCACCTCAACATACTCCTTGCTTTGAATATATTTATCCCAAAATACATCAAAAGCCCAAACCACTTTATATTTTTTGCCACTTTTTTTCGAAGTTAAACACTTTTATTATGGATTAAGTTCAAGGTCATTGGTCAATATGGAGGCCTAGTGAGCTTTCTGACTTTCCTGCTGCAGTTATTCATAGTAATATATTACCTATACCCTACTCCCACCCGAGCACAGAATCCTCTCTCTCATGGCGTGCCCAAGAACATTGGAAAGCGCATGCTCTACATGCTCGGCCCTTTCTGAAGCCTTCCTGCGGTTTTTCTTTTGTGAGTGTCTTTACAAGATGTGATCAAAAAAATTATGAATACTATTGCCAGATGCCAGAGGTTGCTTGCAAAAACATCCCAGTGTCCCTGTCATCTTTATGTACAAGACCTGACTCTAGGGCCTCCTGCTCTTTCCCAAAGCTAAGTGGCCACGAAAGGTAAATGTTTTGAATTGATTGAGGATGCAGAGGCATGACAGCACAGCTGGACACTCACAAGACTTTTCTTACATTAAAGTACAAAAATCCCTGCCACACTTCTTGGTCATATTTCATAAATACCATTTTTCAAATGGGGGTAAAAATATGTCTCAAACACTATTCAAGTAAAAAATTTTCAAATACACACATAATCAACCCATTTAAAACACACTAGAGGCAAAGAATTCTAAAGTCTTTTATCTAAATACTGAAGGAATTCAGCTTTTTAAGATATATTTTTATTTTTTTTTATTTTTGTGTTTAGTACAGGGTCTATAAGGTCTCACTACATAGATTGGACTCAGTGATCCTCCTGTTTTCAGCCTCCCAAGCACTGGGATTACAGGTGTGTGCTACCATACCTGTCTCAATTGCTGTCTCAGTGTGCCCTGGGGGCGGGGGCTGCACGGCATTCCAGGGATCAAACCCTGGCCACTGTGCTCTGCCTAAGCAAGTGCTTTAGTCTGCTGAGCTATCTGGCCAGCCCACATTTTTATTTTTAATTGCCATGTAGCAGTGGAATGCAGTGCGATATTTTAATATGCATAAAATGCGATCAGGATGAGTGACATATGTATTGTGCTCGACAAATATCATTTCTTTGTATTGGGTGGATTTAAAATCCTCCCTAGGAGCTATTTCGAAACACTCAATTTACTAACAGTCATAGACCCTAGTTTGGAATAGAATGCAGAATCCTTCCTTCTGTCTAACTGTCCTCCTGTCCCTGCTAATTGGCCAGTCCTCTTCTTGTAGCAGGTGAGGACAAGGACACGAAAGCGCCTCCCCCAGGTCCGGCCACAGCCTATCAGATGAGGATGAGATGAGCTAGAAGTTTGGCTGCTGCGCTGCAAAACTGGATTCTGTAGCTTCTGATGCACCTGGCTGTGTCTAAGGCCTCTCTTAAGCATTATAATCACTTTAAAGCTCTGGAGAATGGAGAGGCCACCATCAAATTTCTGATTTCCAATGCATTTTTTCTAAATGGCATCTAAGTAAGATTTGTAAATCAATTTAGAGATACAGGAAGAATCTTAGTTAACAGCTTACA